AAGAGAATTGAAGATATGATCATGAAATGAACAAATCTGAGAAAGGTCTACCCAAGGTACATATACACCAAGTATCAAAGCATTCAGGCTTGTAGTTTTCAAGAAGAAGTCGAAAAAGTAAAACATTGACACGGACGACGGACACCGGACGACAGACAATCACTCATATGATAAGCTCCGCTCGACAAAGTCGACAGCGGAGCTAAAAATGACAAAAATATTCACCAAAATTAGAGAATTGAAGATATCATTACAAAATGAACAAATCTGAGAGAGGTCCACATGTAGTTCCTATATATGTAATATCAATGCAATTGGACTTGGGGTTTTTAACAAGAAGTCGAAAATATCACTTTTTACCAAAAAATGACAATAATATTCACCAAAATTAGAGAATTAAAGATATTATTACAAAATGAACAAATCTGAGAGAAGTCTACATGTAGTACCTATATATGTAATATCAAAGCAATTGGACTTGAGGTTTTTAACAAGAAGTCGAAAATATCACTTTTTACCAAAAATGACAAAAATATTCACAAAAATTAGAGAATTGAAGATATGATCATGAAATGAACAAATCTGAGAGAGGTATACCCAAGGTACATATACACCAAGTATCAAAGCATTCAGGCTTGTAGTTTTTCAAGAAGAAGTCGAAAAAGTAAAACATTGACACGGACGACGACGGCCAATCACTCATATGATAAGCTCCGCTCGACAAAGTCGACAGCGGAGCTAATAAAAAAGTATCGATACGTGAAGAAATATCGTTTCTTATCCACGTATATTGTCGAGAATCAATATTTAAATGACGCCATGCATCAACAAGTTTAAATCGTGACAATATGGTTGATAGAAACCTTGAAGAAGGAGGATGTGGCTCAGGGCTATCTGCCCTGTCAAGTAAATGATTTAAAGTACAATTCATATCACCTCCGAGGATAACTGGGTCGTTATTTAACCCATTTAGAAAGGACTTTAAAGTTTCAAAGAAATCTAGACGTTCTCTTACATTCGTGGGGGTGTATACATTGATTAAGTGAACTTGTTTACTACCAAAGTCAACATGAACATGTAGCAAACGCCCAGGAACAACACTGTTATGACTTATTACATGGAACTGTTTGAGATTGAACAAAATGGCGGTGCCAGCTGAGTGAGTATTAGCGTGAGAGAAAAAGATTTGTCCACGCCACACAACTAGCCATATAGGCTCATCGGCAGAAGTTGTGTGGGTCTCTTGAAGGAAATAAAAATCGGATGAATGATTTATTTTCATAAATTCAAAGAGTTGATAACGCTTGAGTGAATCCCTGCAATCGTGGATATTCTATGTTATCCCTGAGAGGCTAGCCATGATTAAATACTGATGACGTATAACAAGCGAGGTTACTGAGTCGTCGTTCTACTGCTACTACTACTAGAGGTAGTAGTAGAAATGCCGCGTTTTTTGTCAAGTGCCACATCACTTCGTTTTTTACTTGTCAGAACCTCCATTCTGCCTAAACCAATATTTTTGGCAAGTCTACATGCCAATCGCTGAATGCGAACTTTCTCCTTGTGAACTAGTTCAGTGTTTTTACGGTAGTGTGAGAGTGATTTAACAAGCAGGCGTAGATCTGGACAGAATTGACGGGCATGTTGTAACAAATGTTTCAAATTGTAGGAGTCATTAAGAAATTTTTTTATCGACTCATTAGAA